TTCAGAATTTAAAAAACCAGAGGTTTTTGCTGGCAAAAAATTTAAGTGTTTAAGATGAATGTATCAGGCTCAAATTTGCGCCTTCTGAAAAACAAAACAAAAACTATGGGGATGCCAATTTTTGAAGAAAAATAAATTGGTTCAATGTGCATCTAAATTTTAAACCTGAAAGACCTAAATTTTGCCATCTCATACATATCTCCCTAGATTTGTTCGTCAAAATATCTAATTAATTTTTGGACGAGTTTTTAAGCATGATTACCGCCTTTATTTACTACCTGGAGAACGTTATTTTTTTAAATAGTGAAGTAGAATAGAAAAATTGAAGGCGCTCAAATACATTTCCAGGATAAATATTTGGGGGTCGCAGGGGCACTGCTGAAGGTTCCCTCCTAAATATGAAGAGGTTTTCCAGGATTTTTATTGGAGTACTTATGTATAGTATATATTGTGCATCACAAAAATCAACACACGTACATTTGCGTTTCTTCTCACCCCAATGCTTCGTAGATTTCTATTCGCTATTTTGATGGAGCTTAGAATTCTAGTTTTCTTTTCAAGGTGATTGTTTTTCAATAATCTTCATTTTGGGTCGACATTGTCTTTAACATATGTAGCGTGCCTTTGACGATTCGACAACGGCACACAATGTAGCTGCCCAAAACCTTACAAGGGATAGTCGCACAGCTCCTCGAGTCCCGGGTGCCCACCATGTTTTCTATAATAGGAACCCAGCCGAAGGATTCACATGTCCAGGTAAAAGCCGTATTCGGCGCTGAAGCGTGGCGCCGAACTTAAAAATCTGCATTTTCGACCAATTCCAAACCCCCATAACTTTTGCAATTTCCGTCGCATTTTCAATAATTGTGCTTTAACGAATCACAAAAGTTGAAATCTTTAGAAGAAATGAAAAATCTTTATTTTTTGAAATATTTTGAGAACCTTTTTAGCGTGTTTGGAATTTGGAAGTTTTACAAAAATTAAAAAATCTCGGTTTCTTTAAATTTCATGGAAATCGAAAGTTTTATTTGTTGTCACGACTTTGGTTGACAATTTTGAAAATCTATCAAGAATTGTACAAGTTATAGCGTTTATAAAAATAAAAACATTCGAATTAGGGAAATGTGGTGCAAAATTTGAGTTTTTCACAGAAACATGAATAAATCCTTCATCTATGGTGCAAGTAAATTCTAAAAAATATATAGTGGCTACCCTAGACTCGAGGGGCAATCGGGAAACTTCCAAAGCTAGATTGCTGATGCAATTGTTTTAGTGGATAATGGCCCGGCCCCTGCTAGGAATGTCAAAAGCAGTAACTTTTGTAATGTCTTAAACAGGGTACAAAAGGTTATGAGATACTTTTTACTTGCTTAGCTTTATTTACAATGTTTACATTAGCTTTTAATTTTTACTACATAATCTATCTGTTCATAAATTAAGAAAATCAAGCTTCGATTGTGTTTAGCTCATATTCACATTAATAAGCCAGAAACACAAAATGTCTGCTTGCTTTACTAGTAGGCTTTTCTACTTTTCATTTTCTGGCTACCATTCTTAATTATTGTTTGTTTTTGGTTCGACATTGACACGCTACGCAACTGCTCAAAATCTTCGAAACATTTAAATAATTTTCCATCCAATTTTTTTAATGAGCACTAGGGCCCGGCCCCCTTCGGGGCCCGGCCCTGGGGAAAACCCCCACCTGGTAGCCCCTCGTAAGGGCCCTGTGTAAATATTCACGAACTTTGCAAATCATATTAGGCCTTCCATATATAATAAATTTTACACATTTATCCCAAAATTTTAATCCCAAAATCTTTACTTTTAACAAAATCAGACATCAATATACCAAATCTCGTCATGCGTCGTGTCCCAATAACTCGTCAAGTTTTGACTCCCCCCGCCAAAGACGTAGACACGTCTCAATTTTGGAACAAATGCGGCCCCCGTTCTCGAAAAGAGGATTTCACCCCCTCCCGGGAGTCCTGCCACGGGGCAATACTCTCCCACATCAGAGGGTAACTGGTACCAATAAATGGAATCGGTTGGATGAAATCCGCCCACAATGAAGCCCTCTCGCTCGTCATTGGTTGCCGACATCATCTGGACGAAATCGTCGGGGATGTGCAAGTTAGCAATTGCCCCGATATCTGGACCCGGAGAGTAAACCACGTGGTCATAGGGCAGGCTCACGGCGGCATTACCCATCCCGAAAAGATACGCCCGCTCAGCATTCTTGTCCCAAAATGCGACCGCGGTACGAAACTTTGTCGGCAGGTCGGCCAACCTGAGCCACGTGTTGGTCCCGTGGTCAAAACGGATTACCCCGTTTTGAAATAAATTTCCCGCCATGACATAAGAAATGGAGGAGTTGTACGAGAACGAGGCGCTGTACTGGAGGTCTATATGTCTTTCCGTTCAAAAGTTATCGGAGCTACGGACAGACAGACAGACGGACAGACAGACAGACAGACATAACGATCTTATAAAGGGCTTTCACCCCTTAATAAAGGACACGCACTCGACTTTAAAATCAACAAGTTACAAATATCATTTATTACCATCTCAATGTAATTTGCATGAATACATAAAATGCAAAAATATGCAGAACGCGGACCAATCAAACTTTCTCGTCCGCCCCGACTTTATGGATATTTCTTAAATGCATAGTGAGATATCTGCTTTTCGAAAAGGCTTTTCCACACCCCTCCTGCCCGCATGGGAAGGGCCGCTCGCCCGTGTGGACTTGGCGGATGTGAGCCTTCAGCTCAGATTTGCCCGTGTACCTGTTCAGAAAAATTCATTCATTCAGAAGTTATTCAATCCGATTTCCGACGGAAGATTTTCATTCACATTCATTCATTTTTTTCCAAATTCATTTAACTTCATTTCTAAGCAAAGGATCATTTACCTGAAATGATGGAATCTTTCAGCCATTTTCATTCAAATGACAGTAAATTCATTTTCATTTAAATCATACATAATTTGTCAAATTAATGAAGGTGAACAGGTATGTATGTTTACTCTAAATATACGTACCCTTTTCCACACTCCGGACAGGAAAAGCGGACCGGGACGACGTAGCCGGGTGTGTGTATCCGGCGGATGTGAAGTTTCAACTCGGGATTTCCCCTAAACCCCCTTTTGCAATGGGGGCAGGGAAATGGACGCTCCCCCGTGTGCTTCCTGGTGTGTCGGATTAACTCATTTTTAGAAATGAATGAAGTTCCACACGTCTGTGAAATTCGAGAAAAAGTATGTAAGTATGTTGAAATGTATGATATGGTTGAAATTTCGAAATTAAGCGGTCCATGTCAATACAGCCAAGGTTTCTTTAGCCAGGCTGTGCGATGGTGCGAATTTGGCAAAATATTTGAGGTCAAAGTTGAAAAACGGGCGATTTTTACCAGGCGGTGGAAGCAAACTCAACTTCCATTCTCTTCCCGTGTTAAAAATTGCACATTTTTTAACTTTGACCTCAAATATTTTGCCAAATTCGCACCATCGCACAAACTGCCTCGAGAAACTTTGGTTGTACTGACATGAACCACGTATGTAATTTCAAAATTTCAACCAAATCGGAGGGTTACACTTCACACCATCGCATTATAAGTAAACTGCAGCTTGATAAAGTTAAAGATATTGAAAAGCGGAGCATTATTTTTAAGAGTGTAAGTTGAATGGCGACTTTTTACATTCTCAATAATTTTTTGACAAAATTGTTACCGGCGGAGGTACTATGTGACTCTACCGCGTGGTAACACTATAGTAACAAATTGTCTTCTGAGGGTAAGAAATTGCCTCCGGTATGGGTAACATTTTTATTACCCGAGCATTGACATTGGGCGCTGAGCAGGATTTAGCCTCTTTATATATGCCACCCTTTGGTGATAAATTATTACCCGAGCGGTAGAATCACATAGTACCTCCGCCAGTAACAATATCGTCAAAAAATTGTTAAGAGTGTAAATTATGTTACACGTATAAAAATTAAGATTATTGAACAAACTTACATACCTCACATTTGTGCGGTTTCTCGCCACGGTGACCCCTCATGTGACGATTGAGTCCTCTGGCATTCGATAAACGTTTCCCACTAAATAAATATTTCCAAAATTTGTAACATATGCAAATACCTTCCTTCAATTAAATATGATAGGTACCCTCCATCCATGCAGGATTGAACTTTTTCAGAGAGTTGAGAAATCTGGGAAACTGTGAGTCTCAGGAATTTTGCTTAGGCTTATGAGGGGGGAAATTGACTGACAATGACGTAGTTTCTCAGATTTCCCCAATTTTGAAAAAGATGGATGGGGAGTATTTCGGAATTTTGTGTCTACCCGCCCCATACAGGGTCACGCTACAATGTAAAGATTTTCGATGGGAAAAAAATTCATAAATTTCCATTAGTTACCGAAATTTTGTCTCCAAAATTCAACACTTTGGAGACATTACTCCCCGTCATTAGATTTCCATTAGTTTTGATAATAATTATAAAACTCTCAGTTCAAAATCATGCAATTAAATATGGTTCATCTATTTAAAATGCGTCATTTTTGTCTACAGGATTATTTGGTGCATGCTGTAATTCTTATGAACGAGGCGTTTAGCCCGCATCTGCGAGCCACTTTAGCCCGTCAGTCAATCTCAACCTGCCCCCAGTACTGCGGGAGTCAAAAAAGCACATACACACACACACACATACATACACAGACATCAAGTGGCTATTCTTGAACTAATTTGGAGTTTGAGCCGTTCATGCAATTCTTCACATCTTTACAAAACTATTTAATAACATTTTGAAAACTTTGAACCGTTGAGAGGTACCAGGCATGTTGATAGGAAAATCAATAAAATATGTGGTATGGATATATAAAAATGACTCATTTTTAGCACATGAATCACAACAGATATTTAAGGGTTTTCCCTTTTGAATTTTCCATTTAAATCTCCCTGTGTATGTACATAATCTACAAAAACCACGGAAACACTTTGTTTTCCTAGAAAACCCCCATGATTTTCGGAACCCTGCGCACAAATAATTTGCAGAAATTTATAGACAAGCATTACCACTCATAGCAAACCCACGCGTCACCATCAAGCTCCTCCTCCTCCTCCTCGACCATAAATTTGTCAGGGTCCTTAAACTTATCTTTGGGCCCGATGTTATGGACCTTTTTCAAGTGGAGGGTGAGATATTCGTTCCTCGCGAAGGACTGACCACACCCGTCCTGCCCACAGGCGAATGGTCGCTCGCCCCTGTGCACCTGGCGGACGTGGGCCTCAAGCTGGTACTTGCTCGAGTAGGATTTTCCACACTGCGGGCACGGAGGTCGGATTGGGGGGACATAGCCGGGTGTGTGAGACTTGACGTGACCTCGGAATGCTACCCGACCTTTGAAGGTAGCTTGGCAGTGGGGGCAGTGAAAGGGACCCTTCTTACGACCTGGGGGGATTATTTTGTTGGGGGACTGCTTTTCTGTGAAGGAATGGGACTCGGATGTCTGTAAAGTTTGGGAAAAAGAAAGTTTTTAAGCCTCCTGAGGAAATTAGCCTCCCTTATAATAAAAGCCTCCCCCTCAATATACTCCCAGGCCATTGACGAGTAATGCTCTCTCGCTGATGAGTAAATTGTGATTATGACACAATTAAGATCTGGATAAGCTAACTATTAAGGAAAAAACGTATGCATTTATATATCATGTGATGATTTTGGGTGGGAGGCGATTGGCCTGGGAGGATATTAAATGGGAGGCTATTGGTAAGGGAGGCTAATTTCCTCGGAAAGCAATTGATCGCAGACGATTGGGGGGGGGGCATGATCAGTAAGCTCGATTTATGAACGTCCCTGACCGCGGAGGATGCTTGCAACGAGAATAGTGTGAATGTCACAAATGATTTTCCGACACTTATAAAATTTTTAAGAGTGGTGAGTGGCGCTCATGAATATTTGCTCAGCTTGGACTGGACTTACTTCGTTTTTTACCTCCACATGGGACGATTCCTGAGGGGTTTTTGATTGCCTGAAAGTAATATAAATAGATAAAGTTATCCTTTTAGAGAAAGACTCCGTCCGAAAATTTTCCAGCATTGAGTTTAATTTAATAATTATTCAGTTAAATATCCAACCTACCGAAAAAATTCTTCGTTGTTATTGTCGAGTTCGTCGGGATCTTCAACCTTGACCTCAAACACCTCGTCCACTACTTCGTCTTCTAGCATGATGGGCGTAGAGGTGGACGAGGCTGTGTCGTGATTTGTAGCTTTTGTACGTTTTCTGGAGTAGGTTCGAGGCTGTGGAATACGATTCAGTTTAAGGTCACTTTGTGGGTAAGGAGGAGGAGAATCGTGGCGTTTCCGTTTTCTGCGTAGATAATAATAAAATTTGTAACGTTTTTGAGGCAAAATACCGATAGAATCCTACATAATTATATTATTTGGAAATTCTAAATAAATATTCACGCAATGCTTGGTAAACTCTGCAACCTTTTACAAAATTTATCAACCCAGTTAGCCCACAAATTTTTGTAAGCTAAAAGCTTACTAAGCTTGCTCAGGTCGCTTTAGATTTCGTAAAACCTTGCAAAATTATCTAGGTACGGATTTTACAAAGTTATCAATGATTGCGTGAATGTAGTACCGTAGTGATTGATTTTTAGCTTTTATTGGAGTCTCGTGGTCAGATTTTTGTAAGAATCCGATCCTCTCCTCGGGGTCACAGAAATTGTCACTGTGTTTGGTAAAAAATTGATCCACCTCTCCCAGCGGGTCGGCACCCAGGTTGCGGTTGTCGTCGTTTTCCACTTTGATTTCCACCTCATCCAGGACGTCGTCCTGCTCATAATAATTATCTGAAAGTGAGGAGAGCTAAATTTACAAAAATATTTATAAAATGTAAAACGCGTCTGGCAAAAAATTAATTAATTGCAATCTAACTTCACCTGTCATTTTGTAAACTTCGAATTATGTCCCCTCTCTTTTTTAGAGAATCGCGAAAATTTTAAGTAGTTGTTTCCTATTTTGGAAATAATCACATAAAATATAAAATTAGTGTACGTTCGGTTTACTACCCTACTTATCAATTTTCAGACTTCACCTTGCTGGAGCAAGTTCAATCTTGGGGGCAGTAAATTTTATTACAACTATCATCAACATACGAGTTGAGGGTATGACTTGGGATCGAACTCCTTTATTTGTTTGATCAGTTTTTTTAACCGCTATCCTTCTCCTGCTTTCCCTTCCAGTTCTTGCTGGAGCCATTACAATACTTTTAACAGATCGTAACCTAAATACTTCATTTTTCGACCCTGCCGGGGGCGGCGACCTTATCTTGTACCAACACTTGTTTTGATTTTTTGGTCACCCAGAAGTTATATTTTAATTCTTCCTGGATTTGGCATAATTTCACATATTATTACATTTGAAAGAGGTAAAAAACAAACTTTCGGTCAATTAGGTATAATTTACGCGATAATAGCAATCGGTCTTCTAGGATTTATCGTTTGAGCACATCATATATTTACTGTGGGAATAGATGTAGACACTCGTGCTTACTTTACAGCCGCCACTATAATTATTGCCATCCCCACAGGAGTGAAAATTTTTAGCTGAGTGGCGACACTTCAAGGAAGAGCTTTAATTATCTCCCCAACTTTAATATGAGCCATAGGCTTTGTATTTTTATTTACTGTGGGGGGTCTCACAGGAATTATTTTAGCTAACTCTTCACTTGACATCGTACTTCACGACACTTACTATGTAGTCGCCCACTTTCACTATGTTTTATCTATATACTAGAAACGTATTATCTTCGTTAGGAAGTTATACCTCAGTAGCTGCCGTTATTCTATTCAGCTTTATTATTTGGGAATCTATTTCGACTGCCCGCCCTAGAGTCCATAACTTTATTTACTCTTCATCAATTGAATGACTTCAAAATACACCCCCATCCGAACACTCATACTCGGAGCTATCCTTAGTCACACATTTTTAATGTGGCAGATTAGTGCAGTGAACTTAAAATTCAAAAATGAATAATTTATTCTTTTAAAAATTGCAACTTGAGCGGCTTTAGGGTTCCAAAACGCTTCTTCACCTTTAATAGAACAACTAATCTTTTTCCATGACCACACCCTAACAATTTTGATTTTAATTATTTCTATTGTAGGATTTAATTTATTCTCAACTATACACAACACAAATATTGACCAACATATAATAGAATCCCAAGGTTTAGAGCTATTTTGAACTATTATCCCAAGTTTTATTTTAATTTTTATCGGCCTTCCTTCTATTCGCTTATTATATTTATTAGATGAGGTATATAACCCGGCAATCACCATTAAAACTATCGGGCATCAATGATATTGATCTTATGAATATTCAGATTTTATTAACTTAGAATTTGACTCATACATAATCCCGTCAAATGAAATAAGAATAAATATATTTCGTTTAATTGACGTTGATAACCGAATAATAGCCCCTCTGAACTCCCAAGTCCGCACTTTAATTACAACTGCTGATGTTTTACACTCATGAACAGTCCCAAGAATGGGAATTAAAGCTGACGCTGTCCCAGGACGTCTAAACCAAGTTAATTTTTATACAAACCGCCCTGGATTATTTTTCGGACAATGCTCAGAAATTTGCGGAGCAAATCATAGATTTATGCCCATCGTAATTGAAACAATCCCAGGAAAAAACTTCATTAAATGAGTAAAAAATATATCTAAATAAATTATTCATTAAATGGCTGAAAGTAAGCGTCGGTCTCTTAAACCGTTTTATAACAATTTAACAAATGTTTTTAATGAAAAAATTAGTTAACATTATTTATAATATAGTTTTGTCAAGACTAAGTAGTTTAAAAAACATTTTTTTATTCCTCAAATAGCACCCATTATATGGCTATCTCTTTTTTTATTGTTCTCTTGACTATTCCTTCTATCTGTAATTAAAATTTCTAATATTAAAAATACTAATATGAATGCCAACGTTGGTCAAACTAATACCCCACTTAGTAACGACGAAACCGATCATATAAATTGAAAATGATAATAACTAATTTATTTTCAGTGTTTGACCCTTCATCAATAATTTTTATATCTTTAAACTGAATTAGATCATTAATTGTTTTAATGATTTTAACGCCTATGTTTTGAGTCACCCCTAATAAATTTTTTTTATTGACCTTAAGAATTTGCAAAAAACTTCATGATGAATTTAAAATACTGCTAGGACCCCACTCATCAGTAGGAAGAACTATCCCATTTATCTCTTTATTGATATTTATTCTAATAAATAATTTTATGGGCTTATTTCCATACATTTTTACAGCTTCAAGACACATAGTTTTGACCTTAACTTTAAGATTACCTCTATGACTATCATTTATGACGTACGGCTGATTAAATTATACCAAACATATGTTCGCCCATTTAGTGCCACAGAGCACTCCAAATTTATTAATACCATTTATAGTATTAATCGAATCAATTAGAAATGTAATCCGGCCTTTAACTTTGGCAGTCCGACTTATAGCTAACATGGTAGCAGGACACCTATTAATAACTCTTTTGGGCAGCCAAACAGCAGCCGCCTCTAACTTAATCTTAGCTAGATTAATCTTAACCCAAATTCTTTTATTAACCCTAGAATCTGTTGTAGCTATAATTCAATCTTACGTTTTTGCGGTGTTATCAACACTATACGCTAGAGAAATTACACCCCACTAAATAAGTAAGGATAATAAAGAGAGACCACTCATTCCACTTAGTAGACCTAAGTCCGTGGCCCCTTACTGGGGCCACGGGCGCTTTCATTTTAACTACAGGCATTGTAAAATGATTCCAAGAAATAAATATAAATTTATTTTTATTCGGTATAATAATTATAACCCTAACTTGCATTCAATGATGGCGTGACATCAGACGAGAGGGGACCTTTCAAGGACTCCACACTTCAATTGTAGCCAAGGGATTGCGCTGAGGTATGATTTTATTTATTACATCTGAAGTATTATTTTTTTTCTCGTTTTTCTGAGCATTCTTCCATAGAAGTCTTGCCCCTTCTATAGAAATCGGTTTAATATGACCCCCTAGGGGAGTACTTCCGTTTAACCCATTTCAAGTCCCACTCTTAAATACTATTATTCTTCTTGGTTCAGGCGTAACAGTAACTTGAGCCCACCACAGAATTATAGAAAATAATTTTTCCCAAGCATTCTTAGGGCTACTATTAACAGTCACCCTAGGTGTATATTTTACTTCACTTCAAGCTCTTGAATACTGAGAAGCATCTTTTACAATCTCAGACTCAGCCTATGGGTCAACTTTTTTTATAGCAACAGGATTTCATGGAATCCACGTAATTATTGGCACAACATTTCTTATTGTGTGTCTCTCACGACATATAAAAAGTCACTTCTCAAGAAATCTCCATTTTGGTTTTGAAGCAGCTGCTTGATACTGACATTTTGTTGATGTGGTGTGCCTTTTTCTTTACATAAGTATCTACTGATGAGGAGGTTAAAGTATATTTATAGTATAAAAAGTACACCTAACTTCCAATTAGAAGGTTCAATTTGTTAGATAAATATAATTTTAATAATATTTATTATCTCATTCGGGCTACCCTCAATTTTAATTTTACTAAACTCTTTTATTGCAAAAAAAAATATACAAGAACGAGAAAAACCTTCAGCATTCGAATGCGGATTCGACCCCAAAAGATCCTCACGACTTCCTTTTTCTCTTCGGTTCTATTTAATCGCAGTGGTATTTTTAATTTTTGATGTAGAAATTACTCTAGTCATCCCCCTGCCAGTTATTCTTACATCAATAAATTGAGCCCACACTCTAACTCTATTAACATTCTTCATCTTAACCTTTTAATGGGACTTCTACATGAATGGAACCATGGAGCCTTAGACTGAAAATAATATTATATATTAATAAAATAAAGGATTGTAGTTAAAAATAACATCTGGGTTGCATTCAGAAAGTACTGTGAAAGTCTATCTTACACTAGTAAGAAGCGAAAAATCGCGGTCAGTTTCGACCTGAAAAATTTGGGTTCTCCCCTTATTTTAAAGGAAGCCAAAGAAGCGGCGAGCCACTGTTAATGGCTATTAGGCACTCAGCCTCTTTAATAAGAAAAGGGAGCCAAATTTAAGCCGCTAACTTAAAATTTTAACGGTTAAACTCCGTTATTTTCTTTTTTCTATTTTAGTTTAATTAAAAACAAAACATTTTCAATGTTTAAATAAATAAATATATTTTTATGGGATACATTTTCAAGACTCAGTCTTCCCCTACAACTTCAACGTAGTGCTCTTTTATATAAGCTATAAAAATATAAACTAAGCTAAAAATAAAACCAATACACCCATAAAGAAACTAAATATGAAGAATTTCATTCTTACGGAATTTAATACATCTGCCTTGGAAGAAATAAACTTAGATTTGTCAATAAATCCTTGCCCCCCTAAAAACTCCACTCAACCTTGGTCCGCAAGATTTAAAATTTTTACGCCGTACTTAATAATAGGAGTCAGAGCAAAAGTAGAAATAAAAGGAAGCAGTCACATCGAACCTAAAAAATAGTCTAAACCTGAGGTAGGGCTAATTTTCTTTATACCTTAAAGTCTACTAAGAAAAAATAAATAAAGAAAAAACTAAAAATTATAGTAACGACCAATAATTTAAGCCACAGGGGTAGAAAAATAAAATTCATAGGAAATATATAAACTCTAAGCCACCCGCCAGCCAAAACTGACATAAAAATTAAAAATGTTATCGGAATTAGTATGTTAATTCTCTCAGCTAAACTTAAAAGATACCGGTTGCCCATAGTTATTAAAAAAGATAAATACAAAAGGCGAACAGAGTACGTTAATGTAAACAATGTAGATAAAACTATTAAGCATCCCATAATTAAATTTATTT